TTTAGCCAATATCATATGAATCCAGATCCGATATTTCAACACGGTGTTATTCACATCTCAGAAGTATGGTTTTTGTGTTGTTTTCTGATCACCAACACTTGCTTCTGCAACTTTTTCTTAGCAGCTGACATGCCCATTGCTCGCTGTACGACACCTGACATTCCCGACCTGCAGTGGAATGTCGTCGGAATCAGGTCACAGTTATACGCCACGTCACCCTCGTCTTGTTCGTCATCTTCGTTCCTTATGTCCATTTTTTGTACTATCAGTCTGAGCATCTCGTACTGCTTGTCAAGCTGGTTCGATATTTCTTTCATCCTAAAAAAATAAACAATGACAATAGTACCTGAATCTAAATCTGTTCAAACTAGATTTAAAAGTCAAAACTGACATATAAGCAAATCATAAGCATACAGAATACATATACACATAACTATTTCATCTTCCCTCAATTCATACAGAAACATTACTATTGTGACACCACCTTGAATTGATTGATATAGACGAGTTTTCACTCTGTTGCCAAACCTCAAACCTGTGAATTTCAAAGACACACAATACGACAATTTGGTGGATTTGAATCAAATCGGTAGTTTGTCATTCAATTTACAGTATAACATGAAGATGTACGGTCGTTAGTATACATTTTATAGAACGATTTTACTAGCACTAAGCAAACAGAAAACATACTTTCGTTTTTGTTTCACCAGTTCCACTTGGACACCCTGATATACAGGGTCAACCGAATTACGCTCCATATTATCTTCAGTGTCCATACCAGCCGTGGCTCGAATTGCTTTCCATATCTAATAACATAACGTTGATATTTACTGCTAGATGGATATATTCATGCAATAACGATAATCGACAATAATTTTCATTGGAAGAGGGGTACTTATATTAGCGAAAATATGTATGACATTGGGTGTGTCATTTTTACCATTTTATATTTATCTGCTATTCCCTAACTAAAAGCCTCCTAGCTTGCCTATAATAATCACGTATAATTTACAGCTTAATTGCTCGCCTATGTCTAGAGCATCAATTAATAGAGTTACACAATTACGCAGACTGATGAAAACTTCGATAGACTTTTTACGAGATACACAGTGTGAAGGTGTGTAAAGAAATTGATATACTAGCACGCAAAAATGAAGTGGATATAATATCTTAATATATTCAGTAAATGTAACGCACCTTGTAAATGATAAACTTTGGGACAATTAGGAGACACAGACATGGTGTCTCGATCAAATCGCTTAATGATTACCATTGGCAACTTCTGTTCCAGTTCAGTGTGAAGTTCCACCTGCATTGCCAATCGTTTTAACTGTGCGTTTCGTTGAACTCCGGCAATATCACCAACGGCCAAACCAATCTAAAAAGAGTAGAGAATTGGTAAAGCCTCGTTCCGAAACAATTGACTCTCATTTTCATAAATTGATAGCCACTTTGCAGCTCATTCGCCGCTAATATCACTGTTATATTATACACAGCCTACCGCATTATAACGCAATATTCAGTTCTTACCAGTAGGTTCATCAGGAGAATTGGCATCAGAAGAACGAAGACAAACAACATAACAAAGGTGAAGACCTTGATAATGCATGGTTTGGGTTCGCCATCTGTAGCTGGAGTGACGAATGAGGCAATGTAATCAATTTCACCAAGCATCATGATAACCATTCGGTAGATTGAAAACCACGGCGTACTGTTGGCTTGATTTTCCTACAACAATGAAAAAGTAGAACAATGGGATTAACATTGCACGTTGACATTCTTTCTACAATTCTTGCACCGTATACAAATGTGTACTAAGACAAGGTTTATGACAATCATGCGTAATATACAATTAGTATAATGCATTACATACACGCAGTGTAGGTTTGAAATATTGGTGATAAACATTACCTCTTGAGACATTAGGATATAAAATGACAATCCGAATGCGATTATGACTATTGAGAAAGTCAGCAACACTTGAACCAACGTCTTTAAAATCTCCAAAAACATTACCACATAGATACCAAAAATATCAAATCTGAAAATAACCATCAATG